CTCCCCGTTCAGCATGAGGAGGGAGAAAAGGGAAGAGAGGGAGATGGGGTAGCAGGTGCCGCAGGAAAACAAGGCATCAGGGATTCCCAGGATTCCCAGAAGTCTTTTCATGCATCTGATCTTTTGCCTCAGTGGCCAGAACTATCAAATAACCACTGAGCTGCAAAGAAGGTTAGAACATGAAATTTTCTGTCTAAGGATGTAATCACCCCAAATAAAACCCAGGTCGTGTCAGTGAGGAAAGAAAGAATGGGGAGAGGGGTATAGCTCAGTGGTACAGTGCATGCCTAGCATGCATGAGGTCCTGAGTTCAAGCCCCAGTACCTCCATGAAATAAATAGATGAATAAACCTAATTACCTTCTCCCCCCCAAAAAAATTAATTAAAATAAATAAATAAAAATTTAAAAATTAAAAAGAAGAGTGACTAGGAGTCTGCTCTTAGGTCTATCAAAAAATGTCTTTTCTTTGTCCACCACCTTGATTAACAGTTTAACTACATATATAATAAAAACTTCCTTTTTCTTTCAGCCATACTCTTTGGGATTTCTGTTGTTGCTGTTGATGAATCCACAGTCAGACTAATTATCTGTTCATCATCTGTCTTTAACTCTGTCCACTCTTTAGACATTACGTTTTTCTGTGACACTCTACAGTGTTACTACAGTATGTTTAAATGCTACTTTTATTTTGTTCTAGTTGGTTTTCCTCAGCTCTGATCATTGGTGTAGTTCATCGATTCTGATACCCTCATTTCTCAGTTAAAGACAAGGCTCTAAGTAGTGATTTGCCCAAACTCACGTTATTATGGATTGATGCACTCAAAATTTGAATTAAAGTCATCAGTGCTATTCTTCCTTGTTTCCAATTAGTAAACAAAAGACTCTCCATATAAAATAAGTTGATGTTTTTAAAAAATCACTACAATGAACTTGGGATGAAGAGAAAAAGGGAAACCGTAGATAGGAAAGAAAGCGAAGAAGAAAGGAAAGAGGACGTAATGGTAGGAAATTAAAAGTAATTTGGAAGAAAAATAAAAATTCTCAGAGAATTTTTATCTTCTCTACACTTTTGCATAAGAAAAATATTAAATGGAGTTGCCTTCTACTTGTTCAGGCCTTTGATTCATAACACTCAAATTGAGCTTGAAATTATGCATTCATTGTTCCTTTGAATATGGTTTTTCAAAGAATTATAGAAATAAATGACAGAATGGAATAACTTCATAGCAGTGACTGAAAGAGACTCAAATCTAGCCCAAGTGAAAGAGTTCTGAAAGGAAAAAAAAATTCCGAGAAAACAGTTTGAAAAGATTTTCCATCTCTATGGAGATGATTTGTAATAAGTGTGTACAGGTACCAAGATTTTCTGCTGGAGTTCTCTGAGGATTTTTAA